CCCCGCTCAAAAAGAAAAACAACAACAGAAAAAAAAAAAACCACGAACAAAAAAAAAAACAACCCCAAGCTTCCACCGGGCTCCAACAAAACCCCGATGGAACAAACGCCGTGTCTGGGAGAATAAATTAATCCCTCTTTAAACAGCCTGACTCAGGGCCGGCTGACGATGGAGCTTGTTTTCTTTTAAAATAGGACGCGAGCGGGCCGGATTTCTGTAAAAACTGGCGAAATCCTAACGGGAATGGGGAGGAATAGGGACGGTGGAGCGTGCAACCCCTCCCTTTGCCAACTGAGTCACAATTTTCCCCCTTTCTGTCGGTGAAAGACTGACTTAAAAACACCGCTGTTTATGTAATTCCGAAGAAAATCCAGTGTATCAGGAAAAAAAACTAAAAGAAAAAAAAATCCTCGCCTGGCTTTTGTGAGCCTCGCGAGCCCTTTCGCACCAGATTGTTTTCTCCTGTTTTGTTTTTTTTGAGCTGGAAAACATAAAATGTGTGATTGCTGCAGCAGCAGCGGGGAAAAAAATAAAAAAATCGCCTAGCACATCACCTTTCTCAAGGTAAAATAATCCTCTTTGCACGTTCCCGGTGGCGGCCGCCCGCTTCCTCACTGTCCTCCTCGGAATTAAACCCAAACCCAACCCGTGACACGAGTTTGAAAACCTGAGTTGAATGAATAAATCCGGCAAGAGCGAGCACCATTCCTTTAGGGAGGAAAAATTCGTCCCTTGCAAGTACCAAGGGATGAGTCACTCGCTCGGGTTCTCTGCCTCCGAAAACACGCCGGGAATGTTCCGGGGAGCCGGGACCCGGAGCTGGGCGCTGGGTTTTCCCCCTTTTCCCGATGGATGCGGGTGATGCCATCGAGTTTGGCTGAGGTCTGGTGAATTATTTCTCACTCTAGTGGGCAGTTGTGATTCGCACGTAGGAAACTTCACGCTAAGAAGTTAATCTCCTTAGTTTAGGGCCATCTCTCTCCGAGCCGGGGCTGCTTTAGTGCCTTGCTGCCTCCCAGCTGAGCGTTTTCCAGGGGAAATTTTTCCTAGGCTGGCAGGACTGTATTGCAGCAGGCTGAGAAATGCCAAGTAATGCTTTCAAGTACGTGTCCAGCTCCTCGCTGCTTGTCCGTGGTTTTTTTTGAAGGTGCTGAGTTTTGAAGTAGTGATGTCACACGCTGATTTAGGAGTCAGCTTTGCTGCTTTTAATTAAGGAGTCAGCAGTTCACTTTCCGAATGTGCGACTCGGAAGCATCTTCATAAAACTGTGACGTGGAAATTTTCCTCTGACTTTTTTTTTTTCCCCTCTCTAAATAATAAAGCTTTCAGAGCTCATAATAAATGCTGGATATTGTTTCTTGAGTGGTTTTGTTAAAATCAATGATTTGGGGTGCGAGCATGCCAATGCACCCAGCAGAAAGCAGCACTGAGGTAGTCCTGATGTGACTTTCATTTTTCTTCTTCCCATTCTCACAGCAGCACAGCAGCCCTCATCCAGCTGATTAGTTAAAACTAGTTAAAAAGCGTGGATTTAAAAGCCTTTTCCCTGTGTCAGTTAAATTACAAATGGAAGTGACTGAATATTCCCACTCGTTCTTCCTGGCGGGAGTGTTAAACCAAGTGTGTGTTCCAGCTGGGACAGGATTCCTAAGGGACAGGCTTAATACGTGGAATATAAAGTTGTAATTTTTAGCCAAATGTTTTTAGAAGTCTTAGTCCTGTAGCAGTGGGCTGTGCGACTGTAAATCGCTCCTTCCAAATAAAGTTGTTTGATTGTTTTTAGGTGGCATTTTGATGAATTGTATCCCTTTCTAAAGAAACAATCGTGCTACTGAATAAGCAGTTCTTGTTTGGATCTTCTTAGTCCCCAAAATGCATAGTTTGAAAACCACTTTTAGGATGTGCTTGGAAGCGAAAGTTGTATCTGTTAATGTGAGGAGGACTCATCCATCAGATGGAGTGTTCAAGATATGACTCATGCTAATTTGTTGCTCTCACATTAAGGCTGGAGCACAAAAATATTTTAGCCTCTGGCATTGGAAGTTCACAGTGCCACATCCTACACTCTGGGTCACGAATTGCAGGGTTTTTTTGTTTACTGCCCCCCCAGGAGAGAAGGAATTAGTGACAGAACAAGGGGATTTTGCACAAGAGCCTGTCCCAGGCCATCCAAATATCTCCAAAATGTTGACTTGATGTTAGTCCTGGGTCAAGTAAAACCATGGTGGGAGCCCGCATAACTGTGCCTGCCAGAGGCGTGCAGCAGGTGCTGGCTTCCCTTCTCCAACAGGGAGTTAAAAAAAAAATGCTGCCTGATCCTTTTTTAAAAGGCTTTAACGGCCCTTGGAAACCGAGGAACACGGCTTGTGGCAGAAGGGCTGCGAGGAGCACAGTGCTGCGAATAACGCTGCCTCCCCGGGAACCAAGACTTATATAAGCAGCAGCTCCATAGCCTGTAGCCTGATGAATATACTTTGTTTTATGTCCACTGTCTCCATCGGATCTGTAGGAATAAGTGCATCATTACCTTGAAGTGCTGAGGCTTAAAAATATCCATAAACTGCCTAAGTTTGAACCTTGTCCAAAGGATTTGGGCTCTCCATTATCCGATCTGCTAGCTCTGCCTTTGAAATTGTATCTCTGGAGCTATCATTAGGTGCTCTGCAGTGTCTTCTGGTGCAGTTTAACAACATTGTTTAATGCTGATTTGAAGTTGTAAAACATTTCAGATTTTTTTTAAGTTAAAATTGTGTTGAAGTGCACAACTTGCTCAGTATTGTGCTGTCGGTGTGTATCACGCAAACTTATTTTCCTGCAATGTAGAAGTGTCAAAACCTTTTTAAAAATGTGGAAAATAAATGGCTGAAAATCCACAATTGTCACTGAAGTCAGGGAAGAGTTTAATGGAGCTGCTGGAGCTTGTGCCGTGCCCTGATTTAGCAGCGTCGCCTCCAGGAGAGTTCTGGATCCAGCTCTTCAGCACTCACTCCCTGAAATAAGCCAGCCCCTTGGGCTGTTGTTTGAGGTGGCTGCTGTGGCCAGGCAGGTGTGGTAATATCCAGCCTACCTGTTGCATCCCCAGCTTTGGCACAGACGGATCTAAAAAGCAGATACAGATGGACAGCCTAACCTGGGTCCTAATGATTCCCACAAGTTTTGTCTCCTGTAAACGTCCGGAGGAGTCCAGGCTTTCTGCTGTGAACTGTTTTCCTGTCAGATAGGCTTGAAGTGTTTGGGAGCTTGTATTCCTTCCCATGTGGGTTAGTGTTGGTATCCACCCATGGCTTTTATCCAGAGATCACCAGCATCATGCTCCCAAAAAGTGAGATTGGAGCAACGCAGGAGCTGCCCCACAGCAAGGGAGAGATGCTCTGGGAGGGCTGTAGTCCCTTGCTGCGATCCAGAAAGGCAAAGCACCCAGGATACAACTAGGAAAAAGGCCCAAAGTGAGCTTCTAGAAATACTGGCTTGTCCAAAGGCCGTGTTGAAATGGATTCCCATGGGAAGAGCATTAGCCTGAGTGCGCTTCCTAGTACTGTCCACCCCAACAGATGTAAAAGTAGACAGGTCAGGGTCGTGCACTGGCGCAGTGTTTTATTCAGCTCTCACAGCTTTGAATCATGCTTTTTGTGAGGAAAACCATAGGAAAGGAGTCCTGGAAGGCTGCACTACTGATCTAATGGGAATGCAAGTTTCCCCAAACTCAGCTTCAGGCCTGGCACGCTGTGTTAATAACGAACCTGATTTAAAACTGGTCTGATGAGACCGAGGCACATCTTGAATACAGATGCACTTAAACTGGCTTAAGGTGCTGGAGTGATTTATTTTAATGCTCCATTAGGCTGAATTGGTCTGTGTGGTTTCTAAACCACATTAAAATTGTATCTGCCAGGGTTTTGTCCCAGTCTGACTGGATGAGTTTTAATAACAGTGTTTCTGCCTTAGAATAACCTCTCGTGGTGCAGCAGAGCCCGTGGCAGGCAGGCTGCAGCTCAGCTGAGCGGTGCTGGCTGCGGGCCCCCCCTTCCCTTCCCTGTAGCTTCTGCCACAGATTCTGTAGTTCAAAGTTAGTTGGTATTGGCTGCTTTCAACCAGCTTTCAGGGTTTATTCCCAGTACCCCTGAACTGTGTTCTCCAGCATCTCTAGAAGTCTCCCAGTGTGTATCGATCAGCTTCTCTTCCCCGCACAAAGTAGCTGCTGACGAAGAGAAAAAGGCCGTGCCACTATTCTTGTTAGTTCCAGACGCAGAGAGTACAGTGGTCAGTGGATAAATGCATCAGGAACCTGCTAAATATAGAGATGTGTCTTTAGACAGCTCCTGATTGCAGTTGCTTTGGTTTCAGTGCTGGCACAGGAGTATGAACACACTGTTTAAATAAGACGCCTTATCGCATCCTGGCTCTCTGTGGCTGCAGTTCAATTCTCAGTGTGCACTAAGCTCGGCTTAAAGGTGGGGCCTTATTTTGCAACTTCTGTCAGTACCTTCATCCTCTCCAGAGATAGTCCTGAGGTGCCATCTGATACAATCATTAGCAAATGAGTTATCTGTTATGTAAAGAGGAAATGCTGTTACTAAAAGATCTGACAAGCACCTGGTTGTCTTCTGTAAAAAGTTGCCCTCCAGAAACTTAATAATTCCTTGATTGTTTGCTGTGTCCTACACTTACCACAGGATCTGCGCAGCTAGGGCATTTACAGCACGAGCGGTTTATCTTGTCCAAAACCAGCATTATGTAACCTTCCCCTGTTGTTCCTTCCATGGCTTTTGGTCTAGAATGTGCTTCCCTGTCGTTTGTAAATGTTCTTACCATGCCAGAGCGAGCAGCCATCCAGAGAATTTAAGTGTGAATGTTTGGTTTTAGGCACACGAAGCCTCCCATCACCAACAGCAGGCAGCACAGAACAGTTTGTTGCCTCTCCTGAGCTCTGCTGTTGAGCCGCCCGATCAGAAGCCGATTCTGCCCTTACCAATAACGCAGAAACCTCAGCCTGCACCAGAAACATTAAAGGATGCTATTGTTGGGATTAAAAAGGAAAAACCTAAAACCTCCTTTGTGTGCACTTACTGCAGCAAAGCTTTCAGGGACAGCTACCATTTGAGACGTCACGAGTCCTGCCACACAGGGATAAAGTTAGTGTCACGGCCAAAGAAAACTCCCACCACAATGGTGCCCCTTATCTCGACCATCGCTGGTGACAACAGCCGGAGTTCACTGGTTTCGACTATCGCAGGCATCCTGTCCACAGTCACTACGTCTTCCTCTGCCACCAACCCCAGCAGCAGCGCCGGCGCCACGGCCATGGCGGTGACGCAGACGGTGAAGAAGCCCAGCAAGCCCGTGAAGAAGAACCACGCTTGTGAGATGTGTGGAAAGGCCTTCAGGGACGTCTACCACCTCAACCGGCACAAGCTGTCCCACTCCGACGAGAAACCCTTCGAATGTCCCATTTGCAATCAGCGCTTCAAGAGAAAGGATCGCATGACCTACCACGTGAGGTCTCACGAAGGTGGCATCACGAAACCCTACACCTGTGGTGTTTGTGGAAAAGGCTTCTCAAGGTACCACGTAGCAAATCCCAGGCATGCTCCGCTGTTGGCTTTTCATGAGCAAGAAGGGTTATGCTATGGTAGTGAGGAGCTGGGAGAACCAAACTTCTCAGGAGATTGGTGAGGGGATAAAGAGCCTTGTCTGCCTTTAGGGTGGGGGAGTCTCCATCTGAGCAAGGTTAGCAATGGCCAGAAGTGGTCACTTTTTTAGGACAGTGGTTTGAAATGGTTTCTCAACCTCATCCAGGGCCCATAAGATGTGTGTCTGTGTCGCTGGGGGTGGGCACAGAGCTCCCTTACCAGCCTTTGCCGTGGTCTGTGACCAAATGGGACAGGGCAGGGTCTCCACCTGGTCTTACAGCAGGGTGGAGGGCACTGACAGAGCACAGGGGCAGCTTGCACTGCTGCTGGCTCTGTTTGTACCTGTACTTGCAACAGAGAAAACTTCAACCTTTAGAACTGTTGTGCTCTCACCTTTACACAAGGTGTGACCAAATGTGCCATTTTCAGGTGTGTGAGGAGAGCAGAGTTAAGTTTGAAACCACAGGTTGGTTTTAAGCTGTGAGGTGCTGCAGGTGAAGACCCTGGTAGGTGAGAAGAAGGGATTTATCCTGGCTGTCAGAGGGATGGGGGCTGCAGGGAGTGACCAGCGCGGTGTCAGCACTGGCACTACCCATGGTGTCCCAACTCAGTGTTTGTAACACTTTGTGCACTTTTCTCCTGTTCTCTCTTTCTTGCAGGCCTGATCATTTAAGCTGTCACGTTAAACATGTTCACTCAACAGAGAGACCCTTCAAATGCCAAGTAAGGGCTAAAATGGTTTATAAAGAACAATACCTTATTGTGCCAGTAGTACTCAGGTGAATCTTTCCAGAACAGTATTTACTCCTAGAATTTTGAAAAGCAAGTTTAGGAGTAAAGCCACATCCGCCACCACACCATGATGCTGGAGTTCTAGTGGAACTTTAAAAAGATGCTATGTCTGCTTTTTTAGGAAGATTAGAGGCTTTTTGCTTTCTTGGAGAACAGCGTAGTTGCTCTGTTTTACCATATGCTTAACTTAGTAGTAGGATTGTAGCAGCATCCTCAGCTCAGTGCTCATTTCTGGGGTAATGTGTGCAGTGTGTTTCTCAGCATGTTCAAATCGAATGTCTTTCTCAGCACATCTATTTAAAATGGGTGGGAATGGTTGATTCTGGATCTGTTATTTTGCTGGAAGGGGAAAGCAAGTTGTCATAAGTTGATATCTGAGTCTAGGAGAAATAATTTGGTTACCCTTGAACAATTAACTGTTTTGCTTGGAATACCCATGCTTATTCCAAACTGTGTTTTAGTGACTTATTAAATAAAAACCTTGAATAAAAAGAATAGTGTTAGAAAAAGTTGTTTTGGATGGGAACAGAAGTAATTGAGCAGTATAGGGTACCAAGTTCATATTTGTTCGGTAAAATTACATTAGAAACCAACTTTGCATATTGTAGGTGCTTTTTATAAGCTCCCTCTTGGATTGGTGGGTAAGACAACCCACTGCTTTAAGTTCAAGCAGTATAGAGTATGATTTTTGTCTTGATTGTCTCAGAAGCAAATTCCATTCTCAGTCTCTGCTGAGTAGCTTGATTTTTGTTTCTCTATAAATATGGGTAAAACTTAAAAGTTGCCAGTACACTTAGGATCCTGTTGTGACCTGCATGGTAACATGGGCTCCCAGTGGGCCTGTAGCTGAGGCTGTACTGCTCTGTCTGCACCTCAAGTGTAACTTTGTCCTTCATCTAGACGTGCACTGCTGCCTTTGCCACCAAAGACAGACTGCGGACACACATGGTGCGCCATGAAGGAAAGGTATCGTGTAATATCTGTGGTAAACTTCTGAGTGCAGCATATATCACCAGCCACTTAAAGACACACGGGCAGAGCCAAAGTATCAACTGTAATACCTGTAAACAAGGCATCAATAAAAGTAGGTGAACGTTTTACAAACATTTCTAATAACTGTGTGTTTGCAAAGAGAATTGCCTTTGATGATGTTAAAATTCAGCTAGGTGTCTGTCCCTCTGGGTGGTCACACCTTTTAACAGTAGATATTTAGTAACAGAATCTGCTTCAACTCAAGGATTGGCATGTGTGGAGTTGGTTTGCTGCAGACTGTGCCCTTATTCCTTGGGAGTGCCCTGCAGTTCATGATGAGACCCATCTCTTGAAGAAGAGAGTTCCCAAGTTTTCTCACCTTTTAAGTTCAGTGCTGCTTCCTGAACTGTGCAGGCCTAAAAGTCCAACAGATAGTTTGGAGGTTTTAGACTAGTTAAGAACTGCTAAGATCTGCCAGGTTTCAGGTCTGAAGCCTCATCTAAAGCTCATCAAAATCAGGAGAAAGTTTTCTCTGCTTTCTCTGAGCGTTGACCCTGGGGCTCAGTGTTTCCTCTCTCAGGCAGTAGCTGACAAGAAAAGGATTTAAACCCAGCCCTGCTATGTTTTGGGCATTAATGGCATCTGACTGGTGTTGTGCAGGAGGTCAGATGAGATGTTTGTAATAGCTCCTTCGAGACTTAAACTCTGTGGAAATGCTGCAGTCTGGACCTGGGGGTGCCTAGCAAGCAAATGAAGACTTGACTTTCAAATTTTCCCTATTAAAATATCTGTAACTTAAGTTAACCCACATGGTTAGTAATGTAAAACGGGTTTTCGGAGGAATAAAGAGGCAGAAATACAGAATGTCTTTGGAAACTTTGTCCTTAAAGCCTTCTAAACTGTATTAATTTACAACATCTTTGCAGTTCCTGTTACTCCTGGATAATTTGAAGGTACTGGGAATGTCTGAAATGCCTGATTGTTGAGCTTAGTAGGAAATTTGGATGTGAAGTATTTTTCAAGGTATAGGGTTACAACTCTGGCTTCCCAAGCCAGTTTGGTGGTGCTAAGCCAGTTCACATGAGGCATTTAGAGCAGTTGTTAGAGGTGGAAATGATGAGCTGTACTGTGGCCAGAGAGTAGCCACAGACTGTTCTCTGATGTAAAGGTAAACTGAGTCATACTTCTGATAAAAAGTAAAAAGGCTTTTCTATTTTTCATTTTTAAGCTGGAGCTAAAGTTTAGAAAAAGTAGAATCAGTTTGAGTTCTGGAAACTCATTTGAGTCTTTAATTTCATTCTTCCTAAATACAAACTAAATAATGACAAAAGAAGTCCATTTTTGGCAGTTAAAGTAGATGTTCTTGACTTATATTTTGGTTTTTAGCTCTTGGAAAAGTAGTTTTATGAAGCACAGAATTAATGATATTGTTTTAAAAACTGTGATTTTGTTCTTGGAATCCTGTGAGATTCCACATGCTTTTTGTGTAGAAGTTGCCTTTATGATCTCAGCAGAAAACAGTAACTTTTCAAGGTGAATTTGTGTTCTTACTTGATTGGCATAGCATGCATGAGTGAAGAGACCAGCAACCAGAAACAGCAACAGCAGCAGCAACAACAGCAACAACAACAACAACAACAGCAGCAGCAGCAGCAGCAACAGCAACAGCAACAACAGCAGCAGCAGCAGCAACAGCAGCAGCAGCAGCAACACGTAACAAGTTGGCCTGGAAAGCAGGTAGAGACCCTGAGATTGTGGGAAGAGGCCGTCAAAGCGAGGAAGAAAGGTAAAACAAACCAATATTGACACATTTGGGTTTGTGAGATAGGGGAGGTTACAGTCAGACAGGGAATTGAAGATGTCAGGAAGGATGTCTTACATGACAGTTTCATTCTTAGAAGTCATAGCTAAGAGAGAGCAGGAGGAAACAGCCCCCAGATTAATTAGGCTGTGTTAAATGACCTGCTCATGACTTGCTCCCTTGCTCTCTGTGCTTTCCCATGTCCTTAGAGTCTTCAGTTACAGAGGGGAGCTTGTGTCTGCTCCAGGGCAGGAGTGTGGGCTTTGACTTGCATGTGGCTTCTAGCTGTGTTTGTGCTTATTTACCCTGTTCACTTGTGCGTACACACACACACACACACACCCCCCCTCTGTTCTTGCACCTTGTATGCTTTCTGTGTCCCCCAGTTTATTCCATCTGCTCTATCATCATGTAACTGTCTTTGCATGAAGTTTTCTAGACCTCAGAGAACTTTTTTTCTCTTTCTCTGTTGCTTTTTTTCATTACAAAATGAGGTAATCAGTGATCCTGTTCCTCCATCAGTGCTGGCTCACAGCTTACCTCACCTGTGCTGCTGTAATTGAAGTGGAATTGCTGTTGTTGGTCACTGTGTCAGCTGGTAGAGAACAGATTGCTTCCATTTAGTGTTTTAGGATACAGTAGTCAAAATTCTCCCATTACTGCTGTTTACTTGATTCACAGTAGTTAGATTATTAATGCCCATCATGTGACTTCATGGATTACATGTTTTAGAAGTTCTTAATGACCACTGCTTATTGTTTTTCAATGGTTGTTTTTAGGAATGTTTTTGACTCACCTTATTTTTTTCTTTTCTCTCAACCTTCCTTTCAGTTTCTTCAATCTGTTTTTGTTTTCTAGGTTCTTGTTTGTGTTTTAGGCTGCTTGCTTCCTTTCCAATTGTTATGCCAGTAATTGAATTCTGTCATCAGACAGTACAGAAATAGCTTATTCACATCTAAATGTAGTGATAACAGAAACATTACATATCATCAGGCCACTAAATAGATAAAGCAAATTATGATGGATTTAGAAAATCACTGAGAATTATTTTCTGCTTGTTCTTTCGTATGTCTTGTTTCCTTTTCCTTTCTTATTGAGAATTTTGAATATACTTTTACAGAACAGTGGTTTGGGGCAGGATGGGGGGTGAGGGGGGTGGG